AAAATATATTTGAATAATTTAATTTTTAAAAATAAATAAAAATGAAAAAATATATTATTGTCTCAATCTAATGAATAGGAGCAATAAAATAAATTATCAAAAACTTAAAAAAAATTAAATTGGAAAAAGGCCCCACCCCGCCCCGCCCCGCCCACCACACCCCACTTTAAATGGATAACCGAGCCGGGTGGGAAATTGCTTGGCGTGCCCTGTTGCCATCTCTAGTGATGGCAAAAAAAACCTGTCTCGCCCTGCACTGACGTTGCCGTGACCTGACTGGTTGGTGGGACGGGGGGAGGGGGTGCCCAGCCCCAAAGTACCCCGAACTCGTCCCGTGAAGAATAAAAAAAGTAATTAACTACAAATTAAAAAAAAAAATCATTGGAAGTTTTTGAAAAAAAAATAAATAAATGGGACAGGAAAAAGGGGCAAGCTCGCGCCACGAACCCGCCCCGTCTAAAAATAATTTAATTTTTAAAAATAAATAAAAATTAAAAAATATATTATTATCTCAATCTAATGAATAGGAGCAATAAAATAAATTATCAAAAACTTAAAAAAAATTAAACTGGAAAAAGCCCCGCCCCGCCCACCGCACCCCACTTTAAATGGATAACGGGGCCGGGGCGGGGTGGGAAATTGCTTGGCGTGCCCTGTTGCCATCCCTAGTGATGGCAAAAAAAACCTGTCTCGCCCTGCACCGACGTTACCGTGACCTGACGGGTTGGTGGGACGGGGGGAGGAGGGGGTGCCCAGCCCCAAAGTACCTTGAACTCGTCCCGTGAAGAATAAAAAAAGTAATTAACTACAAATTAAAAAAAAAATCATTGGAAGTTTTTGAAAAATAAATAAATAAATGGGACAGGAAAAAGGGGCAAGCCCGCGCCACGAACCCGCCCCGTCTAAGGTGGGGCGGGACGGAGTGGGGGAGTGGCAGGACGGGGTTGGGGCGGGGTGGGAAATTGCTTAGTATGCCATGTTGCCATCCCTACTACAACCTTAGTCATTAAGGTTGTTGTATCTCTTGTAACTATAATTCTTTCTTATGAACATAGAAATTTAGTTCTTAATAAAATATAAAAGTTTATTGGCTTCTATTTTTCTCTCATTAGTTTGTAGCCGCGGGTTTCATTTCTTTGGTTTTTGGTATTTGTTTAATTAATCTGAGTCGGAAACTCATTATGAGCATTGAAAAGCCTTTCAATTATTTAATGTTTGACAATTTAATGATTCCTCCACATAATTATGGAAATGCATATATATATATACATATTTGTTTGTTCAAAATAGTAAAATGTGAAAACATAAAAACTCGGTCTCATGTGCTTAATTATAAGATATACTCTTGTTAATTAAATCCGTTACTTCTTTTTCTTGTCAATAAGGAAGAAAGTATATAAAACTAATTTGTGTAATTTTCAACAAGATGTGGTCAAAAATTAAGTTCATATCCTAACGCTGAATAATCAACGGGTTCTAGATTAATTAGTTACTACAAAAGACCATTACCTCAAAAGGATCATCAATTCCATATGAATATTAGCCTCATATTGTCATAGATAGGAATAGGAATAGGAATAGGAATAGGACACACTCTGTCATCTTTTGCATCACAATTCAATAATTGTTGGATCCAATAATGAGATTATTCAAAGGTACTAAATTTCAGCTATAAGTTATCCTGGCAATTCAAATGCAGATATCACAAAAAAAAAAAACTCTTCCTAAAATGCAAAAGATTTTGTACTTTCATGGCTTGAAAATGATAGATTTGATATTTTGTCTCATACATTGTCATTGACTTCATAGTTTTTGTCAATCCCAATTGTATTTTGGTAAATTAATTACTAATAACTACCAAAAAAAAAAAAATTCATTCCAGGTTGATTGTATCGACCCTGCTGCAAAAAATTATCAGAATTAATAAAAAAATATTTTAAATTGTGTCGCATGGCAAAATGCTATTGAACAATTTATTTTTTTTAAAAAAAAAAAGTTTTCCCGTCCACAATTTTCAAAAAACAAAGGCATTATCAAAATTAATGTAAAGAAAGGAGTGTTCGTTTAACATTATTGAAAAAAAAAATATGCAGTAGCATTTGAACTTGTTCAAATTCCTATAAATAGGAAGTTCATAAATATATTAAAAACATTTCAAGCAAGACAACAAATATTTGGCTGGTGATCTCTCAAGCTTGGTATGTTTGGTTCGTAATATTTTGGGTAAATTTCATACTTTTTAAGGTTTGACTAGCTTTAAGCAAACACAATTACCATTGTAATGCATCTTCTAGACATTTTGACGTGACATGCATGATGGATTGGTACTATAGAATTTATGTTCATTTTATATTAGGCAAAAGGCAATTATGTCCCTATTTGATAGCTATTATTGAGTAAAAATGATTTTGAAATAGTGATTTTTTTTTTTTTTTTGAAGATGTGTGATTAAAATGTATGAAAGTATGCAAAATATTTTATTGCGTGAGAATTAAATAATTTTGTTTTAAAGGGAGACAAACAGAAGCCAAGTTCAAGTTCAAAAGCGTAAAAAATCTTCTACTCTAATGAAACACGATACTTTAATCACAATAAGATCGTAACTCTTCATACCTTTTTTTTGTCTTCGTAACAAAATGAGTTATCAAAAGATTATTGAGCGTCCTCATTTTTGTTTGGGAAGTGATAAAGACATGGAAGAATTGAATAGTGGATGACTCACACAGCATAAAATGTTACCACTTTCAGAAAAAAAATATATGGAAGTAAACCAAAAAATATATATTTGATTTTAATGTATTAATTACATTATTAATATATGAATAAACATTTTATGATATGTTTAAACTTAATGTGACAGATAAGATCATATTGTACAATATTTTTTTCCGTTTTATTGTGAAGGAGAGTTTTTTATTGAGGTCCCCCAATTCATTAGATTTACACGAAAGAGTCTGCAACTTATATTGATTGACATTTAAGTTTTTAAGATATTAATTTGGCTGAATTTTGACCTCTGTGGATGGTAACCACCTAATCGACCGAAAAATAAATTTCTCCCGCTAAACTCACCCACGAAGTGTACACATATAACCAGTGTAAAGGATTGCCCTTTAAAATTTAAAATCAAACTAAAGATCAAAATATAACTTGAAACCTAGCGCCCCCCCCCCTCCCTCTCAATTTGCATGGATTACTCTCAGTATAATAGTAGTACGAGAAACACTATTAGTGTAAGTTCAAATTATTTTTAAATGAAATTATGTTATATGAATGACATTATATTGGAATTGGGTATTAGAAATAATAAAGGAGTAAAAATAATGTAAAAACTGTTGACACACTAAAACTGCAGTCCAAATTAAATGGTCCAAAGAACGAAGCCTAGTTGAGAATCCAAGATAAAAGTCCAAATAAAGGGGAAGCAGCCCACAAACAAAGGAAC